TTTATAACTTTGATGTTTCAACAAATAATTTGGAAACTATACAATATTTGTTCACATTTACATTATAATACTTATCTGTTCAAGCATTTCCTGTTTGTTCTGTAATGGTTTCTGAAATGGTTTCCTGTTTGTTCTGTATAACAAACAAACAATAATCTCCTTAGTACACAAGAATGATTTTTTTTTTTTTTTTTGGGGGGGGGGGGGCAAGGAAAGAGCATTGGAATACTAGTCTTTTGATTCTCTTGTCATTAAAGGTAACCTACTGTATTAAAAGACTCATTCAGATTTTTTTCTGTTAACTGAAATTCTTCTAAAGATTACGCCTAAATAAGTGAGCCTCAACCATTGCAGTTATACCAAGTCTGCAATTCCTAAATATTTAGTATTTTGAGGTTTCCCCGAATTCTCAGAAAATCCTACCGAAATGTTTGTGATAATCAGCGAACCCTTTGTGCATGTACCGTTCGGATTGATTTTTTCCTACTGTTATTTCACGTTCTCATAAAAATACCTATCAATTTTCATGAAATGATATAGCAAATATACCCCACGGTGAGTGTACAGGCTCTTAGCAACCAGAAATGGTTCATCTTGACAACATTGTAAATATTTGATCTGTTACTATTTTTTCCCTTGGATAAGAAAATTTAATGACCAATATTGAAACCTACTGCAACCCATTCTGATTACTGGTACATACAGTACATACATCCATATATAGTCAGCTATAGTGGCTCCATTTGCAATCATGCATTCTACGATGTGTGACTATTTGCATACATAGGTATTGTAGCAAAGTAAGTAATCTAAATTGTGCTCAAACTATACAGGCTTTAATATTTGAAAAGTGTAGATCCAATTCCTTTGTGCTGGTCAGTTCTTTGTCCACATGACGTGGCGCGAGATCAAATGCATCGAGAAAATCCTTAGATTGTAATTGATGGTCATACCAGCAGGAAATATGGACCTTTCAATGGCTCGGATAAAGAATCGGTAGTCATTTTGAATAGCTTGGTTTTCACTGATTTGGTATTTTGAAAGATGCATATTTGAGATTGGTTATGGGTGCATTTCAATGGGATGCATAATCATTGGAGTATTAAAAAAAAGACAGTGCTGGTTATACATCCATGTAGATTTCCAATCGAAATAGCATGTTGATATTGTTGCTCTCCTATCAGTACAAACACCGGAATAGATTTGTCTTGGAAAAGGTTGAAGACCGGCCTACCCACTAATCCATCCAACATCAATCCAGCAAGGATTCTCTTATGAACTTGGAATGAGTTGAATGACTCCTAGCATGCATGTTATTCAAATCATGCTCACTGCACAGCACTCAAGCGAAATCCCCAAGCATGTGGGGAAATGTCAAAGAGATAAAATGTCATTATTCTCGATCTTTCAAAGCTATCCACATGGATACCTACATCATATGTGCGTCATTATCTCCGAACCCTCCTTTTGAGCTAAGTCAAGGATTCGTGAAATTTCTCTTCAAGTCAATTAAAAAGTCTTTACTCTAAATACCGGGTGCGTATCATGTTGTTGAATGCCAGATGTCATGCAAGTTCAGAAAGTCATTGCCCTTGAATAGGAACATGATGTCATTGATCCTCGGTGAATGTAACTCTTCATCGGTAAGCCATTCCATTGTCCCATTGTGCTCTCGTCTGTCTCGTTGGGTTTACGTACACTAGAGTTCAACAGCGCCGGTTTCACTTACGTTCAGGCATGTGCAATGTCAACGGCCGCTAGGCTCCGTTCCGCCGTTGTACGTCTCTCGGCTGTGTTTCGTTGTGCAGATCTAGGTTAATAAGGGTTCCTTCTCCTCGAACCATTCATTTCTTCCGCTAACTTTCTTCATATAATCAACAGGAAATTAGAATTGGAAGATCCGGCAATTCCACTGTAAGTAGGGGCACTATAGGGTACGAAAGGACGTTTGTTTGTATCCGAAAGCTGGAAGGAAGTGGGTATAAAGGTGAAGTAAAGGCAATTGTAGGCCCATTTACACAACCTTAAAGGGATCGTTTAACATTGTTAAATCTGAGATACACGGCCCTACATGTCATTAGTGTCTGTGATATGGTGTAATATTGAAGCCCTACAAAAATCGCGCTTCAAAATGATCAAGAAGTGCCTCCAAAAAGTAAAAATCTTTGAGTGACCGGTTTTACCATACTCGTTTTCCCCAATAGACTGTAGTGTTATGAAAACCGTCAGGCGAACGGTTTTCAAAATGTGTAATTCCAATCATAAATATCTTGATAATTAGACAGGCGATCGGCTGGTAAAAGTCATGGGGTTCCTGACTGACCTACAGGTTTATAAATATCATTGCATCATGAGCTAAATCCAGAATTTTGTTTCAGAATCTGAGACAAAGTTACCGGATCCCTTTAAAGCCATTTTGAAAAACCATTAGTTTTTTGTTTGTAATGCCATTTACACTACTGGAAAAACCCATAAGAAACTCTCTGTGTTTGATAATTTTTTTTTTTTTTACGAATTGTCGCTGCCCTGCATTGAGTTAGCATGGAAGCAAAGGGGAATCACCAGTGAAATTTGTGTCGGCTTTTAAACCAAAACGATTCCAGCGGTAATTTTTTGGTTTGGGTTTACCAGTAGTTGTTTAGCAACTTCCGCCAAAACACCAGACTGAGAAAACCAATGATTTTGGGTTGCATTGTTAATTTAGCTTACATATGTTTGCTTGAAAATGTAAGCAGGTTAAATAATTAGACACTCATTCACCCAAACCTAGAAGCTTCTTACCAGTTTTTCCATGATAAATGATTTGCCTGGGGCTTCACATAGTCCTATCCACAGAAACAAAGTTGTGCTTCAATTTATTTATTCCAACCAACTGCCCTCAAAAACCAGTTTTATTGTCAATAGTATGAAATATGGCATCTGTTTGCTAACACTACCTTCTCAGAAATGAGGTCAAGTTCGCAGAAGAATTTGTTGGCAAGCCAAGAACTCTACCCATTGAGAGATCGACCCACCTACAAGATTAATGAGTCATTATTAAAAGCTGAGAAAATAAGTAACTTAAAAAGAAAATAGAACACTGGCAAGAGAGAAGAAATTTCTTTGGTTTGTTACTCGTTCCCTTTTTGTAGAGTAAATGGCGCGTGTGTTCTCACTGTAAAGGCCTTGACCCCATGGAGTGTGTACACTCACAATTGTGCCTTTCCGTTAGCGCAATTTAGGCCTTCTATTCTCTACATCCCCCCCCCCAATCTGCGTCATCATCTTGTTGACCTGAGGTTCACCTGAATGAGGTCAATTCTAATTGTTAGGGAGAAAGGCGGCAGGAGTTGGGTGGAACTGGATTGGATCCTTTCCACGTGTGTATGCTAGCTAGCTAGCGTGTATGTGTACACGTATAGGAAGCTAGCTATGCAGAGGCCATTTTGCTGGGGCTGGTGTACAGATAAAACCTGCATTCATGGAAAAGCTGTAGCTGTGTGTTGCTCCTCCGTACTGTGGTTTTAACATATGATTTGCATGAGGATAGCTACTGATACTGTGAGGCTACAGTGCAGAAAGGGATACAATGCATTTTCAAATGTATTGTAAATAATGACCAACAAAAAACAAAGTATTTGTGTTTGTAAATCACTGAGGAATTTTTGTTTCAAGTGATGAAATAATTCAAATAATTTTGAAGTACTTGACTATTCAATGTTAAAAGCAAGTAAAAGGGCATTTTCTTCTAACTAGTACCAACAAAAAAAATAGCTTGTGATAGTTGGAAAAGTTAGTCATTTCGTACAATTCTGGCATTTCAGAGACTTTGTTAGAGTAGTGGTAGATTTGTTTCAGGCTCTGTTTAAAGCAGAGCTTCACACTTGCTCTTTGTTAGGAGGGGGGGGGGGGTTCTGTTCTGAAATTTCCTGTGTTGTATGAATGGACTTTTAGATTTCAAAATGTTTAGGGTCCAGAGTTGTGAGCCTTCAGTGTAGAGATTATGCCTTGAAAGGTTGTTCCTCTCAGAGCAACAGCCTTTCAGAGCACCCTCATCTTCACCTACATATATTACAAGAGGCAGATACTATTTCACGGGTAATATTTCATTAGCCATGCAATACTAGCACACCACTTGATAGAGGCCTATACTATAGTGGCTTGTACATGTATGTACATTTGTTTGTCCTCGTCCTGTCTTACTATCATACTGAAGCCCATGGTTGGATGATTGATGAGGAAAGAGACAGATGTATGCTTTGGTAGCCATGGACTACAATTGTGGTCAACGACAGGAGAAGAAATGTATTCTTGTTTACTTCGCCATTCCCTCAAAGACAATTGCTCATCCACAATCAATCTTCATTTCACCTTGGTACATTGACCAGACTGAGATGGTCAGAGCATGGTCAGAGGAGTGTTCCTATTGTCCAGGGTGTTCAGTTGTTGACAGGTCTAAAGAATATGGCTGCTAGAAATAGACACTGGCCAAGGGCAAGTAGATTTATTGATCAGCTTGGGCCTGTATATGAACAAACTTACTTGGACAAACAACAACTTAACCTGTTCTTACTTACCATATATGTAGCATGCTTAGGGTCAGTTTGATTTGATTATATGGGTTATAGTTGGTTTATGACATAAATCATCCATAAAATTGTCAAAACAACATCTTTCCCCTTTGATGGTAAATTCTATAGGTTACTGGCTTTGGTCGTGATCACTGTAGCATTTCGATCAGGTTTGCGGCAGGGAATGAGGAGATAGGACTATACAGTGTTCATTCCAGGATTGGAGGAGCTAGGTGTCCAATTTTACAGATTCACCATGGAGCAATAATTGTAGGAGTACCATGAATATTACAAAAATGACAATTCTGACAGTGCTTGGATAATGTGGTTCTAATGATACCAACAATTATGACAAACAAGAACTGATATGAAACAATGCAGCTTTCAAGTTAATATACTTTGTAGCCCCCATTGAAGTTGACGTTCTGTATTTTTCTTATCTTTGTGCAGGACTGAATACGATCAGCAAGAAGCTTGGCCTACGACTGCTTGCACCTCGGAAGAAGATCAACGTTCTCCTGATTGGCAATCACTCAGCGGGAAAGAGCTCCTTTATCAACTGGTAAGATTCTCTCCTTTCCCTCAGAAGAATATCCCCTTTCATCTTGGTTTGTTCACTTCTTTCATTGGTCTGAAACACTAGCGATGTATTGATGGCTGTAGGGAGACATTTCATCATTAACTAGTGAGATTTGCTGTAAATTTGGAAGTTTTGTTTTCATCAATCTCTGTTTGACAGTGGTAGCGTAATGGCATAGAGAAGGAGATCATTCAATGTTCAGTGGTGATATTTATTCAAGCAAAGCTTTAATTTCCTGCTTGATTTCTGTTTACCCTGGCTTTAAATATGGACTGATGGCTAAGGATTTAATATTAATTTGTTCTGGTAATGCTTCTACACCCACCCTCCACCTGATTCCAACACACTTAGTAACCAAATAGGTTAAACCTTGCCATTACTTGCCTTTTCCTTCCAGCATATGCAATACTTATCTCTCTTCGTAGACTGTTCACTTTTAATCATGGCAAAGGCTTACTATTGCATGTGTACCCTCTCCTTTTCCCTGTTCATATTAGCTCTGCCAATGGAACAATGTTACTTGAAGTTGTTCCCTTAAAGGTATTACAAAGTTTTGGTATGGGGTCATGAATTTGGTTCAAATTAAAATATTAAAAGCATATGCGTTCCTACAATATTCATTGATCGTTGTCGCGGTTGAAATCGAGTCTGAATTTATGAAATTATAAATAATAAACTCTTTATGTTGTATAGCTCCCTCTCAAGTTCAAGATATTAATTTAGCTATGAAACAATGTTTCTTGACTAAAATCGACCAATTAGCTATTCCCGTTTGGAAATTATATATCACAACTACATATTCTGAAATTTTCATGGTCGAAGCTACCATTGTACGGCCATAGGCGCTATTTGAAATTTATCAAAATTTATCGGGAGCACCGGTAAATGTTTATATTCAATTTTTCTTGAAAACAGAAGTGTTTTAGGAGATAATTTTTTTAGTGCTTATTATACATCCACAGGGGCATCCAAATATATCAAAATTGTAAAGATTCACTATCCACCCAATTTTCAAAATTTCCCAAAACTTTGTATTACCTTTAACCTGGTTCTGTTGTTTCTTTTCAACAATTCTCTTTCTCTCAACTTGACTGTCTAGGCATTTTGATGGTTGCCACATGTATCTTCTATGTGATGTTCTACTTTTCTTTGAATTGTTGTTTGGTACTGGTCTTTGACATTTTTCAGCAAAAATATTTTGTCACTTATTCAATTTTCTTATCCATCATGGTGGTAGGTATTATGGAAGAATGAAGGAAAAAATCAGAAGTAAAACTTTATCAACTGGGGAAGAGAATGTCAAGAACTGGAGTGGACTAAAACTGCAAGAGTGCGACAGAATGGCAGAAGATAGAGTGAAATGGAGAGATGTTGCAATTAACCTCTGAACCGGGAGAAGATAGATAGATATATTACAGGACATCATGATAAACATGTTGTCTCTGCCATTATTCGTTGACATGAGCTTAGAGATGGAGTACTATAGAGACATTTACCTCTCAGAAAGTAAAGCACAAACATTGTAAAGTATATCAGGTCAACATCGTTCGTAGGTTAAGGCCATTGCAGGTCTGGTCAAGATCTTGAGGACAGTGGTCAAGATGGCAATGACCTATATTGTAGGGCATACTTGTTCATAAAAGATGGTTGTGGTATTTGTTTCTTCAGGATGGCTCATATAAGAGATGGGGTGCAGACAGATTGTAAGGGATTGAACATTGTTCCAGATACAGTTATTCTCTTTCAAGTAAATTATAGGGTTTTCTTTTGTTTCATAGCTTCTTTCAATCTATCCCAGCTTTACAGCCTGTCCATTAGGTGAATGAATGGTGGTGAATGGACGACTACAGGCCTTGTCTTTGAACAGTCCTGAGCTTTTGTCAAGAATGGCAATGACCTGCTTTCACTCTTAGTGTACAAGCAAGTGATGGCCCAAGGTTGTCTAAGATTAGCTCCAAGACAGCTTAACAGCCAAAACAACAAGTCTGTGGTGCATTTTTTTCTTCAAATGTTTGTAATGGCCTCAGTCATCAAGATGAAAGTAGATCATTACACAAGCATGCCCTAGACCTGTTCCTTCTATCTGAAAATATATTTATTTGGTTTTCTTTTTAAGGCTGAAGACAGATGACCAATGACAATGCTGAGGTCAAGTAATAGAAAACAGACAGTTTGCTTGAGGTAACTCAGACAAGCCTTGAATTGACCTGAATTGAATGGTCAAGGCTGTACGAGGTCTGCCTTTGACCATTTCGATGTAGTCTTGATTGGACAGGCTTTATTTTCATTTACAGATGGAAGGAGGAAGATATGGCGGGAGGGTAAGCCTATGTCTTTGATGTGGACATCCCTGGAAACATCTAGGTATTTGAATAGCAGATTGCACTATCATTAAACATATTGACATGTGATTAGCCACAAGACTTATGTGATACAGTTCCAGAGATTGATAACATTTTGAATGATTGCTTCAACAACTTTTGGTCTGAGCGAAGAGACTAATATTTAGCAATGGCTAGTTCATAGCCAGCCATTGGCCGGACTGCGATGGTCAGTATTACATTGCCTGGTACACACGCTTCATGGCATATCCTCTATCTCATTTAATATTCTTTTGTTGTACTTTGTCTGGCAGCATATTCCAAAGGAGCACTAGACATTGGTCAGTTCTCCCTTTGGCTGAGGGGCGCTGTCCAACTGCATTGAGCTCTGCATGCGTCCAGTTGGTCAGTTTGTGTGTCCCCTGGACAAGACTTGAGTTGAGTAGCAAGGCTATGTGAGGCTTGTGTCCATAGTAGAGCGAGGCTAGCTGGCTCAAGGCTTTCTCAGGTCAAAGCCTTGTAGGTGATGAGGATTATTAATCAAAAAATGCAAACTGACCATGTGACCAGGGCCATGAACGTGATTGGAGGACCCCTCACAGACTCTCGTTTTGTTACGTGGAGATATAGGCGGGAACCTCTGCTTATTTTAGTCTTTCTTATTGTGTAGAGCTAAGAGTTTGGTCACTCCATGCTCATGCTGCAGCGTGTATTGCATGGGAAGGTCCCTCCGTATCAGTTGGTCATTGTGGCGGTGATCGAGGAACAACATATTCTTTCTTTTTCAACATTTTTTGTGCCTTCTGAGTTAGATCTGTTACCACAACCTTGGTGCTTCATTAGCGCAAGAGCTTGGATTAACGTGACCTGAAGTAAATTAACCCAGGTGCTGTGATAATTATTATATCTCATTTTCTCATTCCAAGTGCCTTTGTCTTCTGCCTGCATAGGATTCTTGGATGGGTAATTAAGGAGGAGACAACGCCCATTTATCGGAGGCAGCTTGACGATTGTTAGAGGAATATTTTGCTGGCTGGGTTGTTATTTGATGTTGCGGAAATGAGATACTGATCTGCGGCCATCAGATTCTCAAGTTCACTACCATGCTTGAAATTTGATTATCTTACTTGTTAATCACCTTCAATCATATAAGATTACAGGCCAATTCTGCAACGGTATGAAAGTGTTGGTGTTGGTTTTTACGTTCCTTGCCTGACGTCGTGTTTCTTCATTGAATGTATTTATATGCCCTAGTCGTATATCTGTTTATGTTGCTCTGCATTTTCTTTGTTAAACCTGAATCTTCTTCTTCTTTTTTCAAGACATATTTTCATTGTATTAGTAATCTGAATGACTGTCTGTGAAATCTGTTTTGATTGTATGCCTCTTTCTATCTCATTTCTCCCCTTATGGTTCCTTTCTTTCAATGATTTGTTTCCTACTTGAATTTTGTTAGGGGTGTTCTTTATTTTACATGACCATGTTATATCCTATTTTGATATAACTGCTTAAAAAGATATATGAAATTGTACGTTTTATGCTAGTTCTTTCAGTTATGCCTGTATTTTATGCATCCTATCCATTCCGCTTCTCCCATTTTTTCTCTTTACTACCTTTTATTTGTCTTTTTCCCTCTCAAGATTTTTGTTTTTGAACATTTTCTCTTTTTCTTTCTGTAGGTATGTTGAAGAACATGTTCAGAGGACGGGAGTGGCTATTGAGACCCAGGGTTTCTCCTTCATTACCAGTGGACGGAAACGGGAGTCACTCACGGTAAGAATTACCATCCACGCCCCTCTCTCCCTCTCTCCCTCTCACCCTCTCACAAAGGCAACATATTCTTCATACACTAGGTGTCTAGAGGTCCTTTAATCAGTCAACTTAGGTTCAGTCTTTAAAGATCTTCTTACTTTCTGTGCTAGAAGTTTGTTTAAAGGTGTGGATAGTCAATTGCGTAGCTGGAGTGCACTAAATGATCACATGGAATGATGCCGTACTCTACTCTAACATTACTGTATGTCATTACATAGTGTGCTAGTTTGGGGGAAATGAGCCAACACCTAATTGATTTTGTTAATTGTATTGAAATTAGTAATTATTAGATGTATATACCAGCAGAGTCAGGAAACATGGACATTTATCATGAACAATTTTTGTAGAAGCTTTCACAGACATTTAGCTGCCCAGCAAGAAAAGTAATTTTGTATTACAATCTCTACTTTCTATTATCAATTTTATAATAATTTGTGAAAACCATGTAATACTAATGGGTTAGAAATCAAACAAAAATGAGCAGATTATTCTGTTTAGTTTGTATCATGCTTTTGCAAGGTATCTTATGATAATTTGGCAGGCCCAGGGAAATTGTGGCTGACCATATGGAAATGGTGAAATGGACAATGTCTGTCGTTGGCCACCAACCAGCGCTCTGACCATTCTAGCGGTCATCCTATTGGTCACTTTCTGGCGTGGGGTCAGTCGAGCTCAGACTGACTTGTGTCCATTCCATTAGCGATTGTCCAGAGTCCTCCTCCGGCCCGATAGGAATGAGTGAGCAAGCAAACGTTGGCTGCCCGTTGGCTGCCCGTTGGCTTGGCCCGCTGATGGTCAGCAAGCCCCTCCCCCTTCGCTCTGTTGAATGAGGAATTAACAGGCAGGAAGGTCAGGTTCTCAATAGGTGATGAAAAATAAGTGCAGTAACTTTGACCACATTTGTACCCCCATTTTTGCTCTCATATAAGCCCCTTTTCCAAATCTTACACAAAGGGCATTCATGGAGTTGAACATTGTCCTAATGAGCTGTCTAAATCCATTTTTCAAAAGACTTTTTGTTGATCGTTTTAAAGATGTGTAATTATTTGAATTTATCATTTTTATCCCCTGTAAACCTTATTCTAAAATCTTTTCTTCACTTTTTTCCCACTTTTTTTCCATCTTCATGAATTCTTGCTACTGAATCATCAGCATTCCATATTGGCTTTTCACATACTGATAGGAATAATGCTTAGAATTAATCTTTGTCAAAGATGTACAACAGGTGCTTTACCCCAAACCCTAAATGGAGGGGAAGTGTTAAATATGGAAGGTTTTACACAAGCTCAGTCTAGAAATATATGGTATAAAATAAATTAGGGTGTATCAAAAGCCTCAATGTCGTGAAGTTTTCTTGCGAAAGGATAGTTTCTTTATTGGCACTAGTTTTCAGAATCTGTAAAAGATCAGAATATAATCTTTCCTACCTTCATCTCATGTCATCATCCCTTTGGTTTATTTTTTGTAGGGCCTACATTTTCACCCTCCCCCCCCCCCCAAACAAAAATTCATTAACACCTGTCTGTACTCGTGCTGCACTGAAATTGTTAACTTAACGATAATGGGACTGCGAAAATCAAACCTGTGAAGGAAACGTTTTTGAATTTCACATTTTGCATCTTTGAAGTCTTTGATTAGTGAGATAAAAATCAAATTTAGAAACAACTTCCGATCTGAAATAGGTGGATTTGATCATTAACAGTGTTGAAAGTCAGTTCATACTTTCAAATTCATTGTTTTCACTTTGTCAGAAGTCCAGGACTCACCGCCTTGCAATCATTAACTGCGCTGGGTTTCATGATTTCAAAACCCTAACCTTCTAATTTTCCATCCTAGAAACATTGCAAAAGTCAAGATTTGGAAGGTATGAACGGACTTTCAATATTTTTCATTGATTGAAAGTTGTTTCATAATATTTTTTAGGATACCAATAGGATATTTTTAGCTCATTTTCCAAATGGCATTAGTATTTTTGTTTTCCTCTTTTAGTAAGAAAAAATGAAGCACCTCATTTTGCTTACATGTAGCTCCTACATTAGGCATATGTAGATCAACTCGATATAGATTTTATGCAAGTGACTTGATGGGGGGGGGGGGGGGGGTGGGAGAGGGAAGCAGTTCTACAGCAACTCAGTATGAGGATTACGAGGAGGATTACGAGAAGCATTAATGTGAGCTTAATCAGCTTTCTGCTGACATCGTTTGTTTGTATCAAAGGTGCAATGTCTATTAAGTCTTTTGCATTGTCAGGTTGAGAAAAGGGACCCCCCCCCCCCCTCAGTCTGTACCTATAGGAGTTTTGGTGCACCCCTTGATTTCAGGTTACTTCATAGGCCAAGTTATAAAGAGTGCCCCCCCCCCCCTCCATTTCAAAATCCTGGATACTTTTCTACATTTAAATTAGCCACAGAGGAAATGAATGTAAATTTATTTTATTTAAAAAAATGGTAATAATCAAGTTAGAATTAATTACTCAAAAGGGTAGTTATATTATTCCCCCCCCCCCTCCCATATTTTGGGGTATCATATTTCTTAGAATCACTGCACCTATACACATTTCTTTACCGGTACTCGAGAGTTAAAGAAGTAATGACCATATTTTGAGAAGGAAACCATTCAGGTAATAGTAAGTTTTTATAATCATAATCAAGGGATCAAATATATCGCTGTCTAGACGGTCTGTAGATATATGGCATATGAATAGATAAATATCGATCACAAAAAACACTTTACTTGCATAAAGGTGAATTCGGATTATCTAGTATTAAAACCTTTTGGGTTTCATATCAGGCTGGCTCAGACGAATGGCCTCGCTTCATATATGTATCAGTTGGCTGAGTGGCGGGCGGGTTAGCAGGGAAACCATTCACCTTCCATGTTTTCCATGTTTGCAGGCCAATCGGCCCCCCATTGTAAAGCAAACTGAGCGCCAAGGTTGTCTGGCTGGGCTGGCGAGGGAGAGAACTGCCCTGGCATGGCCTGGACGTTGGCTGGACACTGGCTGGACATTGCTCTATATAGCTGGTCATTACATAATGACTGGCATGTTATGTCCAGCTACAGTGGGCGAGTCCATTTGAGCAAGACTATCCAAGGCTAGGGGAGGTTGGCAGAGTTATTCTGAGAGCGTAGGGATAATTAACAACACATTATTTATTATATGTCTTTAATTTCCCATTTAAACCCTTAATTTAACTTTTTGATTGTTATTGATCATTTCAACAACAAATTTAATCCTTCATGATTTTATAAGCCTTTTGATATTATTAACATCATTTGGAGGCAATTTTCAAGCAGTTATCAGGAATTTTATTACAGTGGATCAGGGTATATTATTGCATTTAATCTGTTTAAAAAGAAGGTTGAGTTCTGGGAAGAGGTGAAAATAATTTGTGAGCATTATCATTGTTATTATGCAAGTGTGGAAGAACATTAGAGAAAAAATGTCTCCTGAAAAGCATGGCTCGATCTTCAAATGCTTTCATATTCTAAAATCTAAATATGGCATGTAACAACATAAAAATCGGAACAGATTTTTATGCCAAATTTCCGTGTAGCCCCGTATACATCTTTCTGTGTACAGTGCTTGTAACTTTACCAAGACTGGGCCCAATTTTTTATCATTTTGATGATTCCCAAACCTTGCAGTACACACCAATACTTAAAAAGCAAGATGATCGACATTTTCTGATCGATTCCACACTGTTTCTTTCACAATGCAAAATTTTCATGACCAAAACTCAACTTTACTAGTGATAAAGTTATTTATTAATGGATCTTTATTCCATAGAAAATACATTTCATATGTCTTTCATAAAGTGGCCTTAAGGCTTACGAGAAGATTGTCAATGTCACCTTGTAGGCCTATAAAAATATAATATATTTAGATTCATATGTAAACAGGGCTTAGGGCTAAGAGGACAAATATTTGGAGTCAATATTCAAGCCCTTGTTTGATAATGTTTTATAATTTCATTACACAAGGAAATGAGAGATGTCAATGAGTCATCAATTTTGTTTACCGATATGAAAAGAAAAGTAATTTTACAGAAGGTAGCAAGACCATCTACTTTTGGATGTGTAATAGTTTCTTTTCATAACATGTTTATTAGCAATATTTTATCCCAGTCTTTACATCATGAATATTCAGCGTACCAAACAGATATTCTATTTTTCTCTAGAGGTGCTCTGTATGTACACATTATGTATTTCATTTTCTTGAAATTTATCTGTTATGTTGGTGGGAAGCAAATTTTACAATATTTGTAGGCAATGAATCAAGTTTTCACTACACAATTAAAATAATCACTTTTGTCTACAGAGCTATATTGCAAGCCGAAATGAAATTACAATTATTCATTACATTTTACTCATTAACAATTCAAGCGGATATAGATCATGTTCTACAGACATGACTTGCCCAGCTAGCTAAGATATGAGAAATGTCTTGCCTCATGTACATTCACAATACAAGAGTCTAGAGATGATATTCTTTTCCAGATATGTTACATAAGGAGCTAATTTTTATGAGCCATTCATTCTGTATGCATTCATGATACAAGAGTGTGGAGATAATGTTCTTCTGTAGAGACATGTTTTCTCCCTATCAGCAGACCAATCATTTGTTACCTCCAGACAGGTATTGTATCACACTCAAGGCCAGACAATTGTGATTATGTATGCCCCTCTGATCAATTATCTCTCCCACACCCCTCTACTGAATAGTAGATTAACCATACCTGCCAATCATTCCAACAAACAGCCAATCAGGAGGCAGGGTTAGACCTTCATGCACCAATTACAAGCCCCTATTTCCTTATCTTACTTTAGAAGGAGTGGGGGAGGGGCTATTTTTTCATTATCCTGAGCAGGAAATAAATGGAATGCAAAATTTGAAAAACAAAATTCCAAATGAAGAAGAAAAGGCTATATGTAGTTTGTGATACAGTTTTACCACCTTAATCCAAATTATTTGCAGTTATGTAGTATCCCAAAGTATCAAAAGCAAAATAATTTAATTTAAACAAATTGTTGTACAAATGGGGATGATCGGATCTCCTCTTAAGGGAGTATATTTATCTCATTAAAGAAACACCCACAAACCAGTGATAAGAATGTTTTAAACCATACATGTATGATGACATGGACTTAGATATTCAATCTTTTCATTTTGCAATAGAGTATCATACGCATGTATGAAGCTATTTCATGTTTATCATGCAAATTGTTTTTGGAGCCCCTCTCAACATGCCAGCAAAATCCATCACCCAGAATAACTTCTACCCCGATTGAAGAGCCATTTGTGCAATGCCTTGTGACTGAATGAGGTTATGACTGGACAGTGTGAAGCACCAATGTGTGAAAGACATGCAGTATACAACCTTATTAGAGAGGAGATGGTCTAATAGTAATATCCATTTTGTTTTCTGCTTTAATCCAACTACAGTCTTGGATCTATTTCTGTGCAGTAACATTTTTATTTAGGAAAGAGATGTTTTTATTGGAATGGTGTTCAAAACATGTATTATAGATTTACTGTATGTCCTCCCAGTGGACTCACAGTGATGATTTAACTCAAATTTAACTAGGATTAGAATGACATAATTTGTCTTATAATTTATTTTGATAAGCCACATTCATGCTTTAACTTCGTACTGCTTTCTGTTTGTTAGAGAGCGGGCAAACTCCTTCTTGTGTATGCCTGTGTGAGCCAATGTCCAAGCTACAACATGTGCCGCTAATAACATTTACATTCTAGCAAGTGCATGAAGCTTGTGAAGATGTACCTCCTCCTCCATGTAACTCACACCTAGCCGTAGCCCACTCATGTGATGCACATGTAGGGGTTTGTGTTGCCAGAGGGCAAATGTAATACACCTAGACAAACATGTTTTCCATTCTGCTGCCTCCCAATAGGAGCTTGACAATGACTGGAGCTCAAGCAGAAAACTTGACTTCATAGTTCATATATTTTATGTTACTTTACACTATGGTGATAAAAGTTGTGGAAGGAAGTAGGGTAGAGTAAAAGGGATTGATGTGTTCTTCATAACTTGGGTTATTGTTTTGTAGATGAAAGGAGATAAGGATGGTGTAGGGAAAGAATGCTCAAGGAGGGAGGGGGAGTAGAGAGGGGGAACCCCATCTTCATCAGAGGCTGGTATGTGTTTTTTGCACTGATCGTACAGGTACTCTATTTTAAGCTCAGGAATTGTTTTTCGACATTTACAAAAAAGATGCATTTGTCATATTTCATATAGTGATATATGGCATCTATTAGAAACATATATTTAGATACAGATGCACATCAAGGGACAATTTCTGCATTTTAAATCTGAACATCTTGAACTCGTTTTGTCTTTCTGCAGGGAAATGCCACGCTTCACCTGTACCCCCACTTCAAAGAGCTGGCCAAACTCGAAGGTAAGTTGTCACAAAATGGCTTTTTCAAAAATCACTGTAGTTTTTGAAAAATACATTAAAGGTACTAAATTACATATTTGAAATTGTCATAAAAGTAGTCAAATTGTTTATCAACTTGTCTTACCACAAAAGACACATTGAAAGTTATCACTTTTAGGTGCGATTTTTTTTAAAACATGGAATTTCAAAAGTTAAATAGTACCTTTAATAGTATTCATAATGTTTGTTGTATGAAAGGCTTGGAGGAAATATGGCAGAATTAACATGAAAAGGAGGATGTCAACAAACCGATGTCAGCGGTGGGATAGACCTGTAATATCCAGTCTATATACGCTTCATCTGCATGCTGATATGTAAATGTTGAGATTCAATGACTATCAGCTGCCCGGTGAAGTGTATAGAAACTGGTAACATGCATCAAGACTTCTCTGGATCTGTAGGAAGGCGTGTTCAAATCACTCTGAAAATATGTTTATGATATGGTTTTCATGGAATTCTACTGCAATTGCCAGTTGTGTATGTAGAGTTTTTGTTGCTGTGAAGGAGGTACATGTTGGGTTTTAAAATGGTATTCTCCACCAATGTACTTCACATCCTTGACCTTGGTCCATTCTAAATAAGAAACGGACATTGCTGCTCCTCTCATTATCAATCATTTTCTCTTTTCCTCTTTTGCTCTCCATCTCACCCTGTCTCTCATTCCCCTCTTCATCTCTCCTCTTTTCCTCCTTTCTTTCCTCTTTTCTCTCTTTTCTCTCATTGTCCTTCCCCCTCTTCATCTCTGCCTCTCCTTTTCTTCCTCTCTCCTCTTTTCCTCCTTTCTTTCTTTCATATTTTCTTCCCTCTTTTCTTCCCTCCCCTCTCCCTTCCCCTTCCTTTGTATGTCCAATAATCCATTACTTTAATGTGTGTGCTTCCTGTTTCTTATAGTCACTCGCCTTCAATAGTGAGGCACATGTATTAATCAATTATTATCACACAATCAAACATAATTCAGATCATTAATATCCCCCTTATAGAAACTTGACATCACAAATGCATTGCAGCTGGAATCTACAATTTGATTAAAAACTCAGAATCAAGTTTCTGCAGACAATGAAAAGGTTGGGTGAATTACAATTTAAGCATGCGAGTTGCACTTTTGAACTTGACTGAATCAAATTATTCTGCTCTTTGCCGAAAACCACCAACTATTAGGGTATACTTTCCCCTCACATTGTGGCTTTGTTTACATAGGGTCTGCGGAGTTGAGGGGTTGTTGGATTGTAAAATGCTTCAGACTGGAGGCAGACTTCTAGTCTGCTACGATTGTCGGCCTGTGTTGTTGCGTTAGTTATGATGCCGCTTGGACCTGGAGCCACCATGACAGAATGTGCAGACTCAGTTTCTTGGGCTGGCCACATGACTAGTTTGCCATTATGGATATTACAAATATGACTAATACCCACAAACTTCACTATCTTCAACAAAATGATGATATTGAAAGGAGGATTGATTTTTATTAAAAAGTAAGAATAATAAAGAAGCCAAAACAACAATCCATCTGGGTTTAAATTTGTCCAATGTGTCATATGAGAAAGCCTATGATGCACCAGATCATCGACTGTCTTGTCTTTGTCTTTCCATTATCGTGACCAGATAGAGAGCATTATTTTGATTGAGATGAGACATAACAATTTGAGATATGCCATCCTTAAAGCCTTGTTCATATATGACAAGTCCAAACCACTGCGTTTTTTAATGACGTAGACGCCTCACATTTCTCTAACATATAACACAGAGCTCACTGAGTTCATGTATATACATACGCGCAGGAGCTTTGTTGCACACAGTTGCCATTCATTTACACGTTTAAAAAAACTTGACGACTTTTTTGCAGTGGTTTACCGCATCATATCTGAAGTTCTGAACAAGCTTTTAGGGATATAATTTACAAGTATTCGTACCTGAAAAAGTATGGAGGGGAAAACTACTGAAAAAACACAAATCATTATCAAATGTCAACAATGGCCAATTATATAGCAAGAAACATTTGTGAATAACAGTTTCACAGTAATGTTCAGTTATTTCTGAGATTTGGACCATTTGTATTAAAGTTTGATTCATGCATTTCAGGGTTGATGGTGTGGTGCTAGAAATACATCCGTATTGTTTTCATGATAATAACAAAGTATAAGAGTTCTGAGGAAGTGTCTTCCACTCAACGTGAAGATGACAGCAATTGACGAAGCTGTCATTGATGTCTACTGTTCTACGCCGCTACATCTAGTTGCATTGTGACGTCTGTTTCAGGGAAATGCAGCATGATGTAGTGGTGTAGCTCAGTAAGACCATTCCAACCAGCCGGCATCGATACCCTTCAATTCATCTTTTAACAGTACAGTCAAACCTGCTTTAGTGACCACCTGTCTACAAAAACCAGATATGTTGTTTCCCTTGAAAGTGGTTTCTCATTGAATCATGTACTAAAGGTACCTGTCTACAAAGACCACCTGTCTAGTGTCTACAAAGGCCACTTTTTATGTTCCCTTGGGTGGTCGCTATAGACAGGTTTGACTGTATTCTAGTGTGTTTTAGATATTTGCCTCCTCTGTATTTAACATGCTGTTTTTCCATCCTGCAGGAGTGGTTGAATACCTGAACACCGAGGTGATCACGTCCAAGCAGAAGAAGTTCAGTCTGGTGACCTTTGTGGACACCCCTGGTCTGGTGGACGGTGACATGAAGTACCCCTTCGATGTGGAGCAGGCTATCCTGTGGCTAGGTAAATCAAGGCAGAGTTTAATGTATAATATCATCTGTTGAGAGCCAGGAGGATGTAAACTATGTTGAACACCCTTCTGGCACTCAATAAATGATATATCAGGCTTTAGGGCTCAATGTTAACATATTTTCACCCTGAAGTTAGGGCGGGGCGGGGGAGGGGGGCAGGGGTTTGGGTGGACATTCATTAGGTCTCTGGCCGTGGGACTCCTATTTAATGTCAACATTTGGGGCATCTGGGCATTTGGGTAGCCCATGTAGACCGGGCACCATTTAGTGTCGAGCCCTGGATACGTTTCTGTCTTGAGTCACTTCTTGTCACAATCGATATCTGACCCTACGACCTTTATTATGAATCATGCATAATCTTTGTTGAATAGATAGAAGAGGAGCCATTAATCATTGTAATAATCAAAATAGATACATTAACATCAAAGTTAACAAAGACATTATTCCTTAAAACCTTTTTATCATAATATACTCCATGAAAAGACTAGGAGGTACAAAGAATGAAGGATAATATATTACGGTAATGTTCAATCATTACTTGGGATCTAAATTATAGTTTACCTTGCTTCAGCTTACTGTATTATTTTGTTAGGAAAAGACTACATTGCTATTTATCAACTAAAAGTAGGGTAATCGATGAGTGACATGTACACATGTTTTTATATTTCAACTATGAGTCATCATCTTTATGTCACATAATGACATTGATTGTGTTTCAATGGATGAACCTGTTGGCCTTTCATATGCATTATCATTATGTCAATATTGGGTATTGCTGTGTTCACATTGTAAAGTTTTTGCTTTATTTCACTTCTGTGGTTGAATACCCAGAATGGTCCTAAAAAGTGAAGGAAATGGAAACAGTCCCTGTATTTCATTCATAGGTATTTATTACACAAAGGCCTGGAATCATTGCTGACAATTTTAGATAGATAAAGTTCACTCCGCTTTTCAAATTCGTGATGGTGGAGCAGTGATGTTACCATCCATCTGTTTGGGTAGATTATGACTTGGCAAACCCTCCATTGTAGATTTAGCCTGGGTCTTTGTTTATTCTTGAAAGAGATATTTTCTGAAATAATACACATGAGCGTCACATTTGATCCCCATATCAATAAAAATGTCAAATTCTCTTTATTCTAGTGTATGGGTACCTTGGGCTAGGCATAGTAATGTTGGGTTTATGGCTTCATCATTTTGAATTCTGTGTAGGAAACCCTTGATTTACAAAGAAAAATGGGATATCACTCCCTTTCCATTTCTTTTCCTCCTATTCACACCTTTTCTGCCACTCTCTATATAAAGATACATTTACGCAATTGTAGGGTAGATTTGTTTAATTGTTGAGCCTACCAACGTCATGTCTGCTTTCTTCAGCCTTCAGACTGTGACGCAATTCAGATTATTTGGATCACCACCCACAGACAAAGAGCAGACGCCAAAGATAGAAGACTTTACATGATGTATACTGGAGAGAGAGAGAGAGAGAGAGAGAGAGAGGGAGGGAGGGAGGGAGAGAGTTGGTAGACAGACGGTAGACAGACAGAAAAGGGGAGAAAGAGACATTGAGTCTGAATAGAGTGGAAAAAGAGATAGAGGTAGAGAGAGATGGAGAGAGAGAAATGCATGCAACAGAGAAGATGTAAGAGATAAATTAGAGACAGATTCAGGAAGAGCAAGACTAATAGAAGACAGGAGGTGGAATGGGAATGATTCAGCAAGACATTGAGATATAAGGAGAAAAAGACAATAGGTATTAAAAAGGGAGATATTAATTATTGATAGACAGGGAAAGAGAGAGAGAGAGAGAGAGGGGGAGAGAGAGAGGGGGGGGGGGGGGAGAGATAAAGAGAAAGTTTCATAGGCATTCATTTTTTGACAGAAAGCAAGGAAGATAAGAAATAAGGGAAGCTTAGGAGAAGAACAGAATAATGAAAAGGAAAGAGTGGCCTGGCAGGTGTCACGAGATACCTTTATCTAACAACACCCCAGAACTCGGTCTCTATTATTTTGAAGAAACAAGTTAATTGAAATAAAACATTCTTTAATTAACCATTAGTATCCCAAACATGACTCAACATGAGTTATCAATAAAACGTCCTGTCTAATTGAAAAGAGAAAGAACCAAAGAGAGCTTTTGTTTAGAAGAAGATCTTCTTTAAAGACAATGGATCGTCAACATGATAGAGTAGATAGCTTCTGTAACTGCGATAATGAAAATAGAAATGAGTATCGGGATGCGGCTATAATTGTGGTTTTTAAAATACATTTCGCAATATAATGAGATGATAATTCTCATAATTAGGTGCCTCCAGACAGTGCCACATATAGCTGTCGGGCGGCTACACATCTATTACTTACCAGCATTACAAAATGGATAGAAGTATAGTCATAATTGCTACAACTGTAGATAAAATAAGATAGGAAAGATTTATTTATAAGAGAGAGCTACTCTTATTGAAATATGCCAAGGAATTTTTTTTTTTTTTTTTTTGAGTTGTGAAGAGAAAGATTTTTTTTTCACTGTATTCACTTTCTATGTAGTGTAGTAATTATAATCCTGTCTAATTATGAAATAATACCAGAATATAAACAATGAGATGAATTAGTTTGCTGGACATTAAAATCTAATTTAAAAAAAATTAATTTCCTTACCGGTCCAAAATTAGGAATTGCTATGTAAATATATTTTTTTTAGTTATTAAGATTGTCATCAATCATACAAGCACTGATCATGACACAACTAATTTCATAGCTTTTCTTACTGTGCAATTTTCTCACCAAGTTAGCGTCTTGATTACCGTTAATACGTAGGCGATGCCTGTCATCCATTCCAAATTGCCTCAAACTCCAATAGGACAGCAATGTGTTTACCCGATTGCATATATCCTAGCCATGGTTCCGACATCAGTTCTGTTATGTGGGTGAGGTTTATGCCGGTTGACAATTATTAGCATTTTTGAGGGGGCGTGTGTGTATGGATTGGTAGGTGAGAGCCTGAGAGGAGCCGAGTTTGGTCTGGGATGCATGCATTTATTTACATCTGTGCTGTGTTGTAACGCGGCGACGATGGAGAAACCAGGATGTAATTGCTAGCGTGAGTGAGCAGATGGTGGGGCTTGAGTAGGGTTGATCTAGGATTGGGGTATTGAAACCATTTCTGTTCTTTGGTCTTTCTCCTATAATAACAGGGCTGGGATAAGGGTTAGTTTAATACACCCTTTATTCAATTTGAGTTGTCAAATGTCAATCCGCATTCATAATGTGATTTAATGTGTTAAGAGTCAGATGATCATTAATGCATATACCAGGGCAGGTGTGCATGTACTTTAACCCGGAGTTAACACCCATCTAACTCTCAATATTTATATAATAATGGCAGCTTGGATAAAGCAGTGATAATCATTCCCAAGGCACTGTATCATTTATTAGATCCACAATGGCTTTAACACATTTACATTAACACCAAGTGAACACATGGTGGCTTCAAACCAATCAAATTAAACATGTGCTGACGGTTTGTGTGTACCGAAGGCCTGATAATATGATATGTCAAAATGTCTGTTCAGAGCCAGTAAGATGTTAAATGATTAGAGTTAATGCCCTTCTGGCTCCAAACAGACAATTACAGTGTATGTGCTTCACTGAAACAGAATATATTTAATTTCTCTTTAAACCATCTTTCTCTTTTATCTTCTGTATCCTTCTTTAGGTGACCTCGCTGACCTGATCTTTGTCTTCTTTGACCCTATCGGTCAGGCCTTGTGCAAGCGCACCATGAACCTGGTGGAGAAGCTCAATGAGAAGCATGCTGACCGGGTCAAGTTCTACCTCACTAAGGCTGATGAGGCTGGACATGAGAGTGACCGACAGGTAAGGTGGACATTGCCATCCCCCTTTTTCACAGTGAGGAGAATGGTCAACTACAAGACATCTGGTCAGAGACTGAAGGACGTTATCTGTGTTTGAGTTAACACCCTTCCGTCTCCAAACAGACGATATATAAGGAAATCTAAACTGTATGCATAGCTCAAAGCAAGGAATCCTGTATAATATGATTGTGAAATACTTTGAAGGATTTGAGAGATTAGATATGTAGAGAATTAGAGAACAATACAAGAGCACTTTCGCTGCTAATATATGAGAAGTAGGCAAGCTCTTTTAACATGTTGACTACTGGATTCTCTCGTTCCCATAGTGGACCACCAGGTTCCAAGAGGCAAAGGGTTAATTGACTTTTTAATAGACCATTTAAAAAAAGATTGAATAACCAAGTCTGTTTTAGTATGTAATAAGAGGTTCTTTGGACCAGCTAGAAAAGTAAGGTATTGTGCAAATGCGCTAAGGACCAATTTGTAAAAACTTTTGTTAAAACCCCACAGCACTAGTTTGGCCAGGAGGGATTAGACCTCCCTGCATATTCACTGACAGGTGGTTATCTCATCAAATCAGCTCTCAATTAGAGGATCATGGGGGACCAATGGTCAGTGATTAGGTATTGTTTGCTATATAGAGGGCGCAAGTAGCTATAAGCAGTGCAGTGGGGCTTTAAGAACATTTGTTAAAATCTTGTTTTGTAACTGTTTGCTTTCCGCAGCGTGTTCTGATGCAGATTGTCCAGGAGCTGTGTAAGAGACCAGGTTTGAACCGTGCTGGCTTCAACATGCCCACCATCTTCATCCCAACTATGTCATCAGGAAAGGTAAGACAAAGAGAATCTTATGAGAAATGGAAATGCATTCCTTTGATGGGCTTTGTCATGCATTGAATATAAGTAAAACTGATTCAAATCAAACTAATGATAGGTGGAGTTGATATCGAGGGGTCGTGACACAAAGACGTAACTCCATTTTGGCAATTTTGAGAAAAAGTGGTTGTGTCACTGAGAATTTGGGCCTTATGGAGTTAAGTCTATGTTTCACTAGCCATTGAATTCAATTGGGTGTTGGGTGGAGTTCAGTTTTTGTGTTTCCTGGAAAGCCCAGATTTTCTGAACATTTTGATATCAAATACTCATTTTGGCAAAATATGGAGCTACGTCTTTGTGTCACTGAACCCCTCGATAGGTTTTCCATTTAATTTTGAGGTTGTACACACTACTGTTCATTGAGCAGCTTCTGCAAAAATGATCTGTAGACATCAATGTCATTATTTGACCATTTTAAATTTCTATAAATGTTGTATTTAAACATTTGTTGTTATAAATGAGTTGTTATAAATGAGTTGTTATAAATATCTGTTTCATATCATCTGACCTTCTCTCATTTGAGAGGTTTGTAGGGATATTGAGAAGAATGTTGAAATGAAGATTTGATTGATCATGTTTATTATTTATTGACCTTTTTTTGCATGGACTTGTTTCCTCTGTACAGAATCGTTGTGTGAACCAGATAGAGGAGGTGTGTAAGGATGTAGAGAAGACGATCAAACATACCGTTCAGAACACGCTCAACACACTGGAGAAGGACTGTGAACACATCGCTAAACTCATTGATGACAAGTTGGAAGACGACAGGTAAAGTTCTTCCCATCTCCTCGTCTTTTAACCCGTCTGTATGCCTCCATTCATTCGTTTTGTCATTTCTTTCCTCTCTTGCTCTTTGAAAGTTTTCAGAGACAAAGATTCTTTCTCATGTTGATGTTTCGTTATCCTGGAGAAGAATTCTCTCCCATCTCCTTTACACTGCCCCAGCACAATTTCTCTGTTTCACTCTTTCCCTCTCTTCCTCTCTGTTCCTCTTTCTCTTCCTCTCTCTTCCTCTCTCTTCATCTCTCTTCCTCTCTCTTCCTCTCCTGTGTACAACAAATAAATCAAACTTCATTAGCTATCATCCCATAAACTGTTTGTTGGTATGATTATAGACCCCAAATTTTATTTTTTAAACTGTCCATAAGAAATTTATGTGTGACTGACCACAGAGTGAAGTATAACACTTGTCAATACATTATTTACAATATTGAAAATAGAAGTCAGATTGCGTTCATCTTCTCAAATCATTTCTCCTACATTTTTAAACCAAATCTCTTCACTTTTGTTTTTGTTGATAGGCAAGCGAATTCCTACAACCTTTGGGCCAGGGGTAAATCACTCATCTTCTACGCTTTGGGATTGTTGCTTCCTTTCCTTCTCTTCATCAACTTCTTGGCCAGTACAGTATCTGATGAGTTCACAGCAGGAGTGCTAGGAAAGGAGGGAGCTGACATGCTCAAATCATACTTGGTAATGAGACTTTGATGTTGGTGATAATAAGGGTGGTGATTGTGGTTAGGAGGGTGGTGGCGATGATGATGATGACATTGGTATAAGTGATGATGATGGTGGTGGTGACGGGGATAATGGTGTTGGTGGTAATTATGAAGACGAAGATGATGAAGAAGATGATGATATTGAGAAGATGATGGTGGTGGCGATGGTTGTGGTGGCGATGGTTGTGGTGGCGATGATGATGATGATGACATTGGTATTGGTGATGATGATGGTGATTGTGGTGATTCTAATTAGTGATGGTGATGGGGATAATGGTGATAAAGATGATGATGATGAAGAAGATGATGGTTGCGGTGATGAGGATTATGATGAAGATGGTGGTAATATTGGCCAATCACATCAATGATGGTAATAGTGATGGTAAAGGTAAGATGATGCTGATGCTGTAAACAAGTAACTACTTCTACATAGCTTTCCAACCATCATATTAATTTCTCTATCCTTCTCAATTCTTCTTCTATTTTCCAGAGTCCTATAGGAGGTATCTGGCAGACCATACCGGTTGAAAACCATCTCCATGCGATGATAGGCATTGCTGTTATATGCTTCCTGCTCCTTCTCTTTGCTAAGCTCTCTACAAGGTGAGTCATTCAACTATGTACAACCAGGGGGTGTTTCACGAAGATCCTAAGTCTAACTAAACTCTAAGTTAAGTTGGACTTAAATATTATGGAGAGCCATTTGTAGCCTTAAAATAAAATATTTTAAAAATAAAAAATTGAAGTATTTTAGACTTTTCATAAATTCCTCATCAAGGACATGAAATCTCCTTGATAATAGAAAATATGAATCATTTGATTCAATATTTAATGCTTTTTAAAATAAATTTCACAAAATGTTTTCAAAGCTACTAGCAGCTTTCCATAAGTCCAAAATTAGAGACAAGTTCAACTTAGGATCTTTGTGAAACACCCCCAAGGTTGATTTAGAGATCCATGCTTGTAAAACCCTCAAATGGATTGGCTATCTTTGCCTTAGATTCTGATCGAAATTCTGGATTTAGCTCATGCTGCCATCATAAATATAAACCTTTAGGTCAGTTAGGAATCCCATGACTTTTACAAGCTGATGGAGTATTGATAAGCCCCGAATATCAGATCATTAGATTGCTTTGGTATCAGTTGGTAAGATACAGCTCTGAACAGGTGCAGTGTTGTGTATGCCCCTTGCTCAAAGGTGGTGCCTTAGCTTGGACCTATGATGTTTGTAGGTTCATTCCTACGTCCATCCACCTGATGCAAAGCAAATCTAGCAAAATGGATTTACAACCCCTAGCTTCATAAGAAATCAGCTTTTCTTCTTCTTTTCCATCTTATAACTCTTTTAAAATATTTTCACAGTGGATTTCAAGTTGGTAGCCTTTAAGAAGTTGGGTGTATCCAAAGATAGGGACGTGATCACATGCTCGTAGACCACAAAATCAATGTAAAATATCTAAATTGATGGTGGGGGAGACATTGCTCTTGCTGTTTTGACAAAGAGCAATTTTTGCATTGTAATGTTCTGGTGATTTTGAAGTCCTTCTTTCATCGTCTGTTCAACCTGTTGTAAACGGAAACTGAAATCCACGAATGTGAATCTATTTATAAATCTTGGGATTAAGTCTGACGCAAGATGAGTAACTATGGGGGTTTGTGGGAGAGAGAGAGAAAATCCTTTGTGGATTGAATAGAAGCCAATGTTTTGCAGACAGCCATTCACCTGTTAATTACTTCCTCCTCACTGTAAGAGGCCTGCTGCTGTTTGACTGGTGGTGGTTTGGTTCCTTTCATGCGATGCAACCCGCTGGGATCTTGAACACATGCAATTGATTTATCCTATAATATCATGTTGTCTGGGTTAGCAATTGTATTAGTTCCTGCATATAACAAAACGCCTGAAAATCCTTTTTGTTGTATTCCACTACGGGAAGAAAAATCCTTAAAACATCAAAGAATTTTTTTAATCTGTGAAGGCTTCTATGATGAGGATAGATTTAAGCGAGGTTTGCGGTAACATTCATGTCTGCTTTTAATAAGAGGGTGCATGGATAGTACAATAATACCACTACACACTCATTCTTATTCAAGGCAAGAATAATAGGGGGTAGGGGGTGAATGGGTTAAAAAAAAAAAGATTATGATGAATAGAATTCAGAGTTTGAATGGATGAGTCAGATGATGAATGGAAATGTAGCGGAGACAAATTCAATACTTTTTAATAAATATGTATGAAAGAACTAGATTCACATTAATGTGAGCTGGAGAGGTATTATGTTTCATTTCTTTCACTTCAAAGAATAGCTACTTATACAAACATACCACAACTTTTCTTCTTGCACTCATTGGAGTAAATTGCAAGAGTTGCAATATATCTATCATCCTTTTAAGAGATTATATTATATTCAACTAAATTTACACAAAAAAGCCATTTGAATAGATAAAATTTAAGCTGAATTATAAAGAATGTAAATTGATATTTTGCAGTAACAAATAAAAAAGGATAAGAAAGCTTTAATAGTTTTTCACATTTACCCAATCTGAACATTCTTTAAGTCTTCCATACCAGACACTTGTGGCAGGTGTTCTACTAATGTTATTTGTTTTTGGGTGGAATCAAGTGGTAGTCATAACATCTATAAATAGTCTAGCCCTGACAAGTTTGCATAAGAGATCAACAGCAGTTGGATTTATTTCTCTCATTTCCTCTTATGCAAGGTGTGGGAGGTCTTTGTATGAATTGTACTATCTAGTCAATTAGCTCATTTGTTCTTACCAGGAACATATCAGAGACTTTTAGTACTTTACTTTCCATTAAAAGGTAGATCGCTTGGTGTTACCAAGTTGAGAAAATGAAAGCCATCGAGGTTTAGCCCCTGTGTTATGTTTTATTATCAGCCGCATGGTTTTGTGCCAGCAAACTAAGTTTTTTTGCCATGCCTGATCTTTAAACATAAGATGTTTGTTTTTTCTTTGTAATACAGATTAAAGCCTACGTTGACTAGGAAGGAGAAGAGGTATTTCAGTGAACAGAGGGATTATGTACAGAATCATGTCAAGACAGCAAAGGTAACTAAGCACAATGTCGAGGGTTCTAGATGATATAGGTTCGATAAACACTCTATACATATTTAAATACATACTTTCAATATTCAGTTTTAGAAATACTGTTCTATTTCATTCTTTCATTCATTCATTCATTCATTCCTTCCTTCTGTCCGTCCATTCCTCCTCCATTCCTCCTCCATTCCTCCTCCATTCCTCCTCCATTCCTCCTCCATTCCTCCTCCATTCCTCCTCCATTCCTCTTCCATTCCTCCTCCATTCCTCCTCCATTCCTCCTCCATTCCTCCTCCATTCCTCATCCATTTGATGTCCATAGGTAACTCATTTTACCTTTATTCTAATTTAATGCATGATGACTGGTTAAAACCTGTCTGCCTTGACTGATGAAGTAAAGCAGTCAACTGAGTACAGTCTTTTCATCTTACTGGTGAGAAAGAATTAAGACCCTGTTTTACTATGTGGTGACTATTATTTATTGGAATTTGGAACCTTTTGGGCACTTTCCGCTTCACTATAAGGTATAAATGAATATAAAATTGTTTTAGTGCAAGAAACTTTTGAAAAAAATTATTCCTTTGAATTGCTTCAATCTCAATTTACTAACCCTTTTCATTTTTATCTTTGATCTACAGGAAAAGCTGTACACAGAATATCTGAACCAGTGTGTAGCCATCTCTGACCTCAGCTGAAGCAAGCTTGTGACTAGACCATCATCATCATTGTCGTAGCAGAGTACTAATCATTTCTACTGCGTGATATAATCGCACCATGATATTACAATCATGCCATGTTTTTCTAGGGAAACTCTAGCAAAATTGCCTCGTAAGTTATATGGAATTGGACAGTAAGGTGAAAAGCCAAGAAGAAATTATTTAAATGTTTTTAAAAAACTGATAGTAACAATAATGTAAGTGATACAGAAGACAACACAAGCTGAAACAATGAGGAAATTATGTAATAGAAATAATAGATAGTATAGGCAAGGTTCTGTAAAATCGGGTTAGAGGGGTCATAAGGCTAACATGATTTGTATCATCACACTACATTGCTTTCATGAATTGTATTCCTTTCTGTATCTTCCCCTGGTTATTAGTTACAAAGCACATAATAAGAATATAATTTAGTCAACTGCTGATGGCGTCATTGTATAACGGAAACCCATATTTTCCACTTGCCAGTATTATTGGTGTAATAATGTTGAGAAATGTAGAAAATTAATTGAATTCGCAGTATGTGTAAGCAGAAAAAAGAAGTACTTCTAAAACTTAATTTGCGAAGATATGCTGCATATGATATTTATTTTCTATCACAGCTTCCGTTGTTCTCAAAAGATTCATAAGCTAGGACTATTACTAAGGTAGTTGATTTTCAATCTTTTTGTTTTTGTTTCCAAGATTTAAAAAATAAAAACTATAATATGGGGAAGTCCCATTTTTTATTGATAATGGTTTGAAGAAGCCGACAGATGTATAGAAGAATATGTTTTAAAATGCTAATATTTTGTAACCATGGTATTAAATGAAAGAAAAAGACTTAGGGGATACCAATGAAGATCTATGTAAAGATGAGAGGTGGTGAGAAAATGACCAAAAGTTAGAATATTTACACCTCGAAAAGGAATAAAAATCATTGTCCTCGGATCCAGTCCTAAAAGTATTCTAATGAAATTTTAAGAATTCTATTGTTTCCCGTGTTCAAATGATCAGTTATTTAAGGAAACATTATTTTTTGTTTTGATTTCGATTACAAAGTTCAGAAACATCAGGTTTATTATTAATATAGCAATATTTCTAAAGGAATTTTTATTTTGTTCAATAAATGCTTTAATTTAACTTTTGTGAAATTATGAATACCACATTATTTGTAGACCTTCTTGCTGTCGTTTCTCTTCATTACAATTCATTTTCCTCATTCAAGATTTAAAAAAAAAAATTAGTATTATGATTTACGGCAGAAGAGTTTATGAATATAATAGGTAATTTTATAGAATTTTATTAAATTAATCACTGAGAAATGAATTTTAAAAGAGGTATCGTTACTGTAAAGAGATTTTCATATGGTGACATGAATCGCACGACCAGGGTAAATATTGTTTTTGTAGTGCTGTGATATGAATTATTTTGCAGATACATTGTTTGCAATAATAATTTGAATTGAGAGTCCTCACATGGCGTATTAATATTAAGTGCCTATTATTAAACAAAGTATTTGTACAGAGAAAGTATTTGTGAAAATTATGAAGTATGTTCTCCGTTTGATTTTTCATTCTAAAACTCTTATTTGTAATCCTATCGACGTTCCACACATTCTCCTTGTGATCACAAATCATACTGAATTAAGTTTGAATTCATTACAAATTAATTGCTGATTTTTTTTCTTCAAAAGTTTGAAAGGGAATTATATCATTCTTCTTCCATTAAAATAATATTTTCTATTCAGGTTGGAGCAAAGCTTCCCTTCCAGAAGAGGAATTTCCTCGATAACTACCGGTATCAAGTTTAAAATTTCCTCTGAACAGCATTGTTCTATCTCATTCATTAATGCATTGCTGTGCGCTATAGAAATGTAATTTTATTCGTTTGAATGACACACGGTTTTATTTTGTACAATGTGCCGCATCATTAGTGTAGGTACTATGGTTGATGTGTGTGATAGGTTTATTCTTGGTTGAATTACAGTTACCGGTACTTCTTTGTTTTCTTGCCCATATCAGAAAGCCTTTTGCAAAACTATTTCACAAGTAAGAATTAGTCCAGTAATTTTGCCTTGTCGTCTTTCTGGCTACTTTACTTCATGAATCTATGTAATCCTTTTTTTTTTTCAATGATTGTTTTACTGCCATCCTAACCCTGTCTTCATCAAATCTGATATCATTTCCATGTATAGAAATTACTGAAAAGCACATAGATGAAATTAAATGAAAGTGGATAATGGTTATACTCTGGCCCCATCTATTGTCTTTTTGACGTCAACCTTATGGTATCTGGTGATGCAATCATAGCGCTTCTGTAGATGTGTAAATGCTACAGTCATGGAAAGTTTTGTAAGATCTACACCGTCATGGTAACTTGTCTTGTGGTGGTGGTGATGATGATTATGGTGGTGGTGGTGATGATTGTTATACTGATGATGATGATGATGATAATTGTGATGGTGATGGTGGTGGTCGTGGTGATGACGATGATTATGGTGGTGATGGTGATGTGGATGGTGATAAAATGCCACAATCATGGAAACATGTGTAAGATCTACAATGTCGTGGTAACTTGTCGTGTTGTGGTGGTGGTGGTGATTGTTATACTGATGATGATCGTGAGACTGATGATGATTGTGATGGTGATGGTGATGGTGATTGTGATACCGATGATGATAATGGTAACTGCCATTGTGATGGTGTTGGTGATGTTGATGATAATAATGGTGATAAAATGCCACAATCATGGAAACCTGTGTAAGATCTACAATGTCGTGGTAACTTGTCTTGTGGTGGCAGTGATGATAATGATGATGATTATGGTGGTGGTGGTGGTGGTTGTAACGGTGATGATTGTGATGATGATGTGGATAATGGTGGTGGTTATGATGAAAGTGAATGTGATTTTAAAGATGCTGGTGATGATGGTGATTGAAGAAAAGCTAACCAAATGCAGATGGAACAAAAAAGCAATGGTCCTACATGTAACAAATCATAAAATTCTTCTTCTTCTTCTTGTTCTCGTCCTTCTTCTTTCTTCTTCTTCATCTCTCAATCCTACTCCTTAAATCTCTTTTTCTGAAACTCTCCCTCGGAGTTTCATTGTTCCCCTTTCTGTATTCCTATTCTTCATCTTTTATGTCATGTCTTTTTCGGTATCTCTACTTAATAATAATACGGTAATAAATACCATTCTTATACAGTGCGTCCCAGAAAAAACGAAACCGAGAAGTATCGATGTTCTATCCTAACTTAATCACAACTATAATTAATGAATGATACATATTTGGAAAGCTTAGAGTCTCCTCTTTCATGTGATGATACTCAGATAATGCATATTTCACGCATGAGTGATTAAAAGCAATTTGAAGGAAGGAAACCAAAAATTCACATTTCTAGAAAGTTGAGTTTCTGCCCTTTTATATGACACCTCAATCAGGAAAAATGAGCAAGGAATGACAAAGTTCTGTTTGTTTAAAGTAGTGCTTGCATTTCCATAATTTTATTAAACGAATTCGTAGACGAGAGTCTTCATGCATGGCTGATTGTCAACGAAACGGAGTTAAGTCTTTTGTCAAATCTGCTTTTTGCTACGGCAGGCACCCAGTGAAAACGAATTCGTTTGTTAAAATTATGAAAATGTAAGGGCTACTTTAAACAAACAGAACTTTGTTATTTCTGGCTCATTTTTCTTGATTGAGGTATCATATGAAAGAGCAGAAAATGAACTTTCTAGAAATATTAATTTTCCTTTGAAATTCAGATACCGCCCGCCAAATTACTTTTTGGTTTCCTTCCTTCAAATTGCTTTTCATCACCCATGCGTGAAATATGCATCACGTGAGTAGCATCAACTGAAAGAGGAGACTCTAAGCTTTCCAAATATGTATCATTCATTAATTATGGTTGTGATTAAGTTATGATAAAACATTAATACTTTTCGGTTTCGTTTTTTCTGGGACGCACTGTATAGTGCATAACACATTACATAAGTATGTCCCTATGTGTTTGGGAAGAAAAGCAAGGAAGCAAAAAGAAAATAGGTCATGGAGTCCTGTTTAATATCTGTTTAACATTTAGAATAAGTGTGTTTAAAAGGCAATTATATATACCTCTCTTTAGAAATCTAGCCATCTGATTGGTTGAAATTGGAGTCGTGATTTTAGCTATCCCCCTTAAGAAAAGGACAATGCTAGTAATGGTCAATAGTTCATGAGTGGGATTCCCGCAAGATTGCGTACCAGGAAAATAGTTAAATTTTGCTGCGATCCCCATTGGTTTACGTTTTAAAATTTTCTTTGTGCGAGCGCGGATACCATACAATGCTTTTTTGTCTGCAATTCCCAAATATATTTATAACATTCAGTCATCTTTCCATGAAAGATTAATAGACTGTGTCTCAGATTTTCTGTGATGTTTTAACCAATCTTTACTCAAGAAAAGAATAAGGTAAGAATTCTTGGTAAATGTTTGTGTCAATTCGGTATATAAAAGACATCTCGACTGCTTTAATATTCGAGGCCTGGCTGTTGGCTCTCGGGGACGTGCACATCCTGCCATGACCCAGAGATGTGGGTGGCGCGTCTCGGGTCATGGCAGGATGTGCACGTCCCCTTGAGCCTATGAAACAGTCAGACCTCTAATGGCAGTCGATATGTCTTTTATATACCTATAATATTGTTGTATCAGTGTTTCCTAAAGAGTCTTGGACGTCTTCCCGTAAAACTAGGGAAGAATGGGCAAATGAAGATTTACCATATATTTTGTCATAGTTTACTATTTCTCTACCTCTCTCTCCCTCTCTCTCACCCTCTGTCTCCCCCTCTCTATTTTTCTTTCTCTCTACTAACATCCCTCCCTTCCTCTTTATTTCACCCTCTCTCTCTCTCTCTCTCTCTTCTAACGTGTTACGCTCATCACAATATAGAATAAGTTAAATACACACAATTATAACAAGACCAACTATTTCAGATATTTTCTATATCATTTATTTCACAGATCACTTTCTGAACTTCTCACTCTTTTCATCTATCTTTCTATTTCCCACAACCGAAACAAACAAAAACAAACAAAAACATACAAAAACATACAAGGAAACAAAACATAGATTACCTTGAAATACCTCTGAGTGCAAAAAGTGGCTGTTTTACATGAAAGTGCCAAAAGACTTTGTAAAACTATTTCAAATGAGAATGATCTCTCTGCTAGAGCAATAACTTTCACATGCTACTCTTGTAATCTTTTCTCTGGTAAAAGTTATTTACAACACAAATATACATACATGTGCATTTCTATGACAAAAATAGGGAACATATTCATTAACATAATAATCTTCTACAGTATACTCTGATATTGCAAATATAATCTTTGATATATATATCTTCACATATATATATACTAACGAAGCAAGCGTACAATATACAAAAATAACAGTAGATTACATAAAAAATATGTTGATTTCAATTACACATGTACACTCATATTATCAATCCAGTGTAGTAATAATTACAAGAACACACTTTCACCAATGTACATGGAAATAATACATGTACAGTTATCATGTAAACACAAACTCTAAACTTTTCTCAACAAAAGCCACAATCCATTCTCGCTTGATAGAATAAGCTCATCGATATTTACCATTCATATATATTTCTGCTTTCCTGTTTCTTAAGTCAATCACATAAGCCTTCAAGCATTTCTTACATGTATATCATCTAGCTCTTTCCATCGTTCCACATTCAATTTATACACAACTACAAAACATCTCCCCCTACAATAAAAGTATTACATGTACTACAACATATGGTTATTTATCCATTCAC